ACCACGGGATGTCAATCCCGTGGCAAAAAACAGAGGAACAAATAGAAACATAATTAGCGTAGCTGCTGTTCCAACCAAGCAAGTCGTGTCCTCTTTTGGAAGTCCAAACAAAGTAGTTTTGCTTTCACAACGAAACACAGCGTCACACATGGCGGGCTTGAGTGAGGAACAGCCGGCGGGCTTGAGAATGGCGTGGCCGGCAGGCTTGCAGCAACCACATGTGGCGACCCCGGGCTGGACTCCGCTTCGTCCACGGTGAAAGCCGATCCAGCGATCCACAGCGCGAAGTTGATGGATTTCCTCAGCGACCAGCACGGATCAGCTCCAGGCATGACGAAGCGGATATCGTCCTCTTTTGGAAGGCCAAACAAAGTAGTTTCGCTTTCACAACGAAACACAGCATCTCCACGACATGGCGGTGGCGGCAACAACAATACTACAGCGAGAATCAAAGTCACGCCTTCTTTCTTTGCGTGAACATTTGGGCGGCGTTATGCAAATCTTCCCACATCGTGACGTAGACATGTGGGGGCGTGTTAGAACGAGCCGTTTTAGGAGGGTGTGGACAAGTCTTAACTTTTATAAAGCATATCTCTTTGGGTTTGAGACTTTAGTCTTTGCAACTTTAGGGATCTTATCTACGCACGAACAGCTTGTAACACTCCAAAGAGAAAGGAAAATTTGAAATTGCATCATATGACCCCTTTAAATATACTCAAAAGACCAAAAGTATTCAAGCACAAATTGAAATTTAAAAATGTCTTACTCTATAAAAAAAAAACTTGAATGTAGCCAAGTCACAGACACAAAATATTTCAAACTGAAATATTTCTAATATGAGCAACCATTTATTCATTCTAACAAAAGAGCAGAAACCTTGTGTAATTCAGTGATTTTTTTCTTTGTTGTTCTGTGCAAATGTGTGCAAATACTCCCACAAGCCTTCCTCCAAGTTATTTGTTGACACGTTGACACAAATCAAATCAATCTGCTGTATGTGTGAGGTTTCGCAAGAGCGAACTTCGAGAGTAACTAAAGTCAAGGAGCAAACAAGAATATTTCTGAATGTCTGCAGGGTTGTCTTCATTTTGAAATGGTTGATATGAAAACACAATCCCCAGAAAAGCACACAGGATATGAACATCTCCTCAGCTCCGTGGTTTCCAACTGATTAAGCTTTTCATTCCACAATTAACAAGGGGATTGAGTGTTCACAAAAAACGGGAACAAAACCAACAATTATCTTAGGCAGAGTGTTCCAACATGTGTCAGAAACAAACACGTGCATTAGAGGTATAAAATTCTCTAATGAATCGTGTGGCGCCTTGGTAGATCAAACGTTCAGCATGGCTTCCAGACAGTCCAGGGTTCTGGCACCTCAAGAAGCGATGTTGTGGCTGAACCGATACACCTCAACCCCACTGAGCTCCAACAGTGAGGTCTTATTATGATCTTTAGCACGACTGTGGACATAATCAGTGCTCTCAAACTGGCAACAGACATCTACGTTACTAAAGTACCACACACAAGTCAGCTTCAAAACTGGTGAATACCAATTCTTATAAAACAGTTAGTTCCAGTCCTCGATTCTGATTGGCCAGCAAGCTGTGTTTTATTCACGATAAAGCACGGCTATGACCTCTTCATCCAACGGTTCTGTGTATCACTGCACAAAACCCTTAGCAACATAAACAATCAATAATAGAGCTTCAAAACTGTCCCATGAATTATGTATTTCAGTAAAATTAACTGTTTATTTATTTGATGCAGTATGAGTGACCCCTGCTGGCGTTATGTTGCTCTTCCCACTGTCAAAGAAACTCTTCGCAATCTCATGTGGGAGATGCGTTGATGTGTGCGCACCTTACTGTATTTATTAGTTTTCTGTTTTAGCTATGATTCTCTGTTTGTCCATATGCCCAACAATCTACACTGTAATGACACTTGCAAACTCGAGCTGTGCCGCGAATAGGTCTGTTTTAAACTAAAGACAGAAAACAAATATTTTCTCATGCTGAGAGATAAGCAGATGTATATGTGTGCGAAAATATCATATTTGGTGTTCAAATGACATATAGCGAATGAGAACGTTCTCTGTTTTTTTTTTTAGCTTCGTAAGATGAGGCATATTACACCGGAATATTCTCTTGCCGTTTACTAATGCTGTCAGGAACTAGTTTTTAGTGTAAGCATGGCATTTAATGAATTTATTTAAAAAGAGAAACATATTCATGCATAAAGTTCTGGTTTTAATATTTGTATTGTGTGGTAACCGTTTTATAAAAGCAATAAGGTACTCGAGGCGTGCTGTATTGTGAATAAGTCACGGCTAAAGGGGTAGCAGGCACTCTGCTTCGGTTATTCACAATACAGCACGGCCTCTCATACCTTATTACTTACATATAGACTGTAGAACTGTTCAAAATGAGTATGAAAGCCCAATTTTGACCTGAGGCCACTGAAAAAGTCATAAGAAATTCGCAAATATTTTCTGAAGAACGTCTTTTTTTTTTCTTATGGCCGTGGTGTCTGATTGTGTGGTGTTTCTTACAGGAGACTTGCAGATCAGCTCAATGAAAAACACCTCAATTGCATTTTATTGCACTGTAGATTAAAAATCATAAGCGTGCAGACCATTTATTTGTAACTGACTTATTGAGAGTTCAGCCCTCAGATTCACACTGAATGTCACTGAAAATGGTTGTAATTCTAAAGTTTAAAAATGAGGTCCCTATTTGACTTGTTTTTGTTCAGCTGTTACTGGATTTAGAATTCAGCATAATCATGACCGATCATTGTTTACATCAATCATTTTGTCACTTCAGAGTACTTGTCATCCCTAGTAATTGTACTATGTTATCACATGTAGCTAATGTTATGTTG